TTACAAAAAAAAGGGTACATGCCCCTTTCAACTCCTTTCCTTCTCCTCGCTACTGTCAAAATGTTGAATTTCTTTTTTTACATTGGTCCATAAATGTTCTAGATTTCTAGAAGCGAAAAGAGGCATCCATCGGTGTGACCTAGTGGTTGACGAAGTGAATTGAGAAGCATGAATTCTCATGTTCAAATCCCGAGGCAAAAAACACTAGGTGATTTCTTCCCCTCTATCCAACCCGCGGTGGACAGAGTTAACCGATATATGTGCTAGTACGAATTAGCTAGTACCCCGTGGAATTAGTCTAAGTGAAGATAAGTTGTCCTGGACAACGGAAACCGGAAACCAGACAACACAGTTATCAAAACAAAACACTTTTCTCCTTTCTACACATATGCACTTACTTTAGGTTTGGTATGATAAGCATAGCAAATTAGTAGTTCTACCTAATACCTACAACTATATTTTTTTTATTCCTATATTTGACTTGCCTTCATTTCCAACAAGACAAAACACTAATGTCAATTCTTTTTTCTTTTCTACTTCCACCAAAGATCGTATATACTCAAACAACTCGCTTGATTAAAAAATCCCTTTCTCAAATTAGACAAAATCTACTATTTCAATTCAACGAACATGACAAGCAATGCACATAAACAATTTATCACATCAACATCTAATAAACAATCCAATTGAAAGAAGAACAAAGTAAAAATGATAGAGCAATTTTTAGGGGTTTCAGTTACCATTGGGGTCGTTGATGAGTTTTTTGCTCTGAAAATCCATCGGATAATTGTGCTGCATTTACACAAGGCGATAGAAATTAGAAAAAAATCCAAAGAGAAAGAGAAAAAAAGTGAAGTGTCTTCTTTGGGAAGAAAGAAAAACCTGAGGGCTTTGTAGGTGTGGGGAGAGTAGACTTCAATTGTTGAATGCTTTGTCCGAAGTCCGAACAAACACAAAAGAGAGAGAAGGGGAAAAAAAGATTTATAGAGGAATTATGGCTTATTCTTCTTTTTATGAAATGAAAAATTTGAGTATATTTAATATTATCCACTCTATGAACTTATATTATATTATTATATTCAACAAAATATTGAAAGAAAAAGTTGGCAATCATCTGTTTGGTCAAGTTTTTGACATTAAGGGTATTTATTCCTTTTTTCTAAAAGGTAATCCTATCCATTTTGGAGAGCACTTGAATGTGGGTTACTTGTTGTGGCGGATTCAGAATTTTTACGAGAATTTAGAAGAAGAAGAAGAAGAAAATGATATTTTTTGAGATTTGAATTTGAAATATTAAAGATGAATTTTGAACTCCTAAATCACTGAATCAATCTTTAATCGTGTGTTCAAAAAATTCAAAATCTATAACATGTACATCAAAATTAAAATTTTACCTTATATATACATTATAATTTTTTGTCAAATGGATCGGATGAACACCCCCCCGACCCACTAGATCTACCTTGTGTTTACAAGGGTGGAACCACCTTAGGCGAAGGGTGTTTTAGTGCACACCCTTCGTCAGAAAATTATATGGTGTACATAGGTTAAGTGTTAATTAACATGAATGTATATTTAATTTTTGTACACTCTTAACACAACTGAGAAGAAAATTTGCACACACTTCGTCAAATTTCTAACTCCATCACTGTGTGTTTATGTATCACAATGGAATAGAAAAAAACATCTTAATGATTAACTATTTCATGGATAGCTAATTTTATTATTTTAGTATAAAATGTATTTTGTTATTAATCAATATTCACAATTAAATATGCAATGTAAAATAAGTTTGTATTTTATTTCAAGATTATTATCTCTTATTTCATTAACCTAATGAGTAATGACCCAAGTGTATGGCCCAACTTTTATATAGAAAAAATAATAATTTTCATTTTCCCAGGACAAAAATATTTTTTACCCAAATCTTATATATTTACTAGAACCATCTTTCCCCTAATGTAACTCAATTGTATTTATATATATTTCATTTTTGCAATCTGATACTCAAAATATCTTTTTTTCTAAAAAATAATCAAACATAAACAATTTTTCTGATATGACAAAAGTATTTTCAAGTGATTTGAACAAAATTAATAGATCTTTCCTCTTGAAAATACTTTTGAAATTTCATTTTAGGAAATATATTTTTTTAAATCGCATGAAATGTCACTTTTCTCTAATTAACTATAATAAGAAAACTACAAGTATTATTTATCAGGAATTAAAAAGAAATTTGATATTGAAAGATAAAAATAACAGACAAATTTGGATGCTGCAAGTGGGCCACCCATGTTCAATTAAGTTCTTGCACGAATAACCCTTAAAACTGTTTGGTGTTTAATTTTTGTTTCTGCGATTTGTTTAATAAAAGTTTATAAATAAAATACTTCTTAATTCATCTGAATCTAATTAACCCGACATATGAGTTTTTTTTTGTTCGGAATAAATTTGATAAAAAGTAAGTTATAGTATAATATAAATTGTGTAGTTTTTTAAAATTTTGTTATAGTATGCAAAAATTGCAATTTGCTTTTTAGGGAAAATGTTGTTTATTGTTTTTAGAAGGAAAAAAAATTGATAGTCATTATGAATGGTAGAATATATGCGTGAGTTTGTATGTTTTGTTTTAATTTGGAAAATATATTATTTCTTTTTGATATACCACATGATTTGTTATGCCTTGTATTATAACGTAAGAAATATCGTGATACAACAAATAAGCTTATTTCCTATGAAAAAATTGTTTGTTATTTTAATGTTGAAGACATAATGAAATATTATGATACAAAAATATAATTTTATGCCTAAAAAAAATTGATATCAAAGTTTTTACTGAGCAACAATTAAAAATTATCAAATTTGAGGACAAAATTCAAATACCATTCATTTGTGCAAATGACCCTATTCAAATTGTAAGTCCAAATCAAAACAGCTCGTTTTCATTTTTAGCCTATTTCTTGAGTACTTTTGCTAGAGTTTTGGTGATAATTAATCAAATAAAGTCTTCATATAATGAGCTAAGCTATGACATTATTTTGGATCATTAGTCGGATCTTATTGATTGATTATAATCCAATGATTGCAATCTAGTATTAAAATATGGCTTAGATGAATACCCTTGATAACTATGAAATCTTTTGCTAATTATAATAATGGATTACTTCTTATGTATTTAGTACAAAATATTATCTCTTCGTGGTTATGCTAATATAGAACTTATTTAGAAAGTAAAGAACAATAAATATAATTATGATTATTTATTTAAAAGCTCTTTTTTGGGTATTTTAAAACGAATCTCAATCATGATTAATGGAAAAATTACCTAAATACACAACTTAATCTATCATATTCTCTAAAATTTACTACCATTTGAAAAAATTACAAAAATCTCTACTCTCTCATATTCTCGGATACATCACTTTACGCAATGTATTGGGACATACGCGATGAATCGGAACATTGAGTGATGTATCAAAAAATGAGATGCGATGTATCGAGATGTTGAGTGATGTATTCGAAATCCGAACGCGATGTATCAAGGCGTTTTGGGATGTATCCGGATTCCACCAAATTTAAGAAAATTTTGTAATTTGAAAAAGAGTAAGGATAAAATGTAATTAACATTTAACACTGTGAATTTTATGTAAATATCCATTAAATTATCCCTATAATATTATTAAGTGCTAATAATGGCAATATTTTCATATTGTTTTGTTGGTTCCAATACAGTTTTAATTATATATGGCATTTTTTAATGCTTTATTGATATTAGTACGTGTTTGGTGGTCTGAAAGAAAAAAGAGCATTTCTTTCTGTTTACGCATAGAACTTAAAACCTTTCAAACACAATATATCCAATATAATTCCACAAGTCAAATCTACCTAAAAACTAGCATCTACATACTTTAATTTATTAATCAATTTATATTAAAAGCGTAGGACTTTGATCTCTAGGTTTTGCCATATAAATATATGACGGGCTTGTACCTTTTAAGTTTGACTCATCTTTTTGTGATTTTCTTTTAAAAGTAACTCAAGAAATTTCACTAATTTAGTACTTATTTACCTTTCTTTCCTTCACTTTTCATTATTACGAAACTAATTAGAAGTTTGGACTTAAGATATATGTATTTGGCGTGTTCAGATACATGTATCTCGGATACATAAGGTCAAAATTATGTGTAATTTATTCTAAATACGTTATATCCAAGTGGATTCACATATATTTGTCTCTCGCTCGCCTCCCTTCTATCTCGCTCACCTCTCTTCTATCTCGTCTGCCACTCTCCCTGTATCTGGTATCTCATATACATGTATCTAGTGTGATTCACATGTATTTGAGATACATAGACTTTCTTGCTCTCCTTTCTCTTTATATTTTAGCGTATCTGGTAGCAAAAATACATGTATCTAACTTGGAATCAAGTACGAAATTATTAATTAGTAAGATAATATATAAGTATTTCAAACGTTAGAAAGAATTATTAAATATGATCAGAATATTTATCTAATTAAATAAATTTTCAATTTAAAAAAAAAATATAATCCTCTACCTTTTGGCATATATTGGACAGTGTTGTTTAAGTCTCACAAACTGACGGACTTGCTAAGAAGCCTCATTTTAAAACATGCTCGAAATATTGTGGCCCATCCCTATCAATTCACAGGTTGGGCTCAATTGAAACAAAGAGCCAAGTCTATATTCATGATTCTACTCCCTAGTCCCCCACTCTTTCACAACGAAAATAAACCAAATTTTTTATTTATTTTTGATATATTAATATAAAAACTTCAGCCATACAATCATATGAATTTGTAAAATAAATATCTGAAAATTGTAGCCAACTTAAGAGACAAATGTTTTAAGTTTGTATTTGTAGTACTCAATTTAAGTGACTTTCTTGAAATTATCTATAATATATAGTATTATATATAAGATATAACTATATCAGTCAATCAACTCGAACACAAAAAAAATAATCAAAATTATATGACATAGTTTTTAATTACTCAATTTTTAAAATTGTCTTGTGTCACGTTTAGCATTAACCCGCCTTAAGTTAAGCCCATATTTTGAAAGGCGAAACCAGAAACTAAGGGACTCATTTTTCTCGCACTGAACTAAGCGGATACAGATGTGGAGAAAAGAGTTTGCGAAGATGATCGCACATCACATCAGGTTCATGAAATTTTTCTGTTTATTTAGAAAACGAAAGTGTAATTTTCGTTCTACAACGCATTGACAGATTAATCAGAAGAATTTGATATTAGATGTCATAATTTGCTATTCAATTTCGTACCTTCTGATTATCAGAAGCTGCCCATGAATTCCCCATAGTGGGTAGCTAATCGTTTTCCACGAGGTGGAGACATTATTTAAGCATATAATTAAATGCTCATGTTGTAAAATTGTGGATTGTCATCTGAATGTCTTACAAAAATGCTGAATGTACTACACGTATCATGGATCTTATCGGTCTGATTTTATGCATGTTTTTCTTTATGTGGAAAGAGGGAAAATGATAGGAGATGTGGGGTTTGAGATGACTGGGAAGCCTCTTCTAAAAGAGCCCTGAAGCTGGACAATGTCGGATATATATCACTGTGGAGTTGTAGCTTTAAAGTGCATTGATGATAACATTAGCTAGTTTTTGCCTATTTTTAAGTGTTCTATCATTTCAACCAACGTATAGAGGAAAGATATTGTGAAGGTTATACCTCAAGCACAGACGTGATTCTGCTGTGGATACACTATTAACAATAGTAATCTAAAATAAAGAGCAAACGGTGATGTGAGCACAAGAAAATTAGATGGAAGTTTAATAGAAAATTAAAGCTACGGATCTTTTCAGAAATATGGATGACAGTAAAGCAAGTTTGTTCAGTTGGACAGATGCTACTTGGGTGTTCGTTCAGTTTGCATTTGTAGTCATGCTAAATATTTTGCTTATTACAATGACCTGAACTTTGAGTAATCTGAATTTTGGTTGTCTTTCTATATGAACTGCCTCTCAGCATAGTAATTGGTGCTAGTTGGGGTAGGTTTGTGTGCATCTTATGAACTTCTTTGTTGTTTACAACAATTGAACAACTACCAGTAATTTGTTCTTTCCTTTTCTGCTATTGTGTAAATGGAAATGCAAATATGCAAACTCTCTGTCCTAGCGAAAACATTTGTACTTTTTGTTTTCGTTAATGTACAATCTACATGCACTTAATCACATTTTTTTTGTCTGTGCATTTTATAGTATCTGTTGCCACATGTATTTTGAATATAACCTTATATTCCCTTTCTGGATCAATATGAAATTCATGTTTCCTAAAAGGTTATTCAACAAATAATGCTTGCCTCACCTTCCCACAACCCTTTTCTTTTTTTCTCTTATTTGCAAAAAAATAAAAAGGTAGAAATGAATCAGCCAGTAATTCATCATCCCCTTGCTGCCCTTACTCTTGCAACAAAAGACAAACCTATAACACGAAATGTTAGTAAGTGTACAAGTTTTCCTCATCATTTTGGATCCAATTCTAGGCTCTTAATTTCTTTTTTCACTGTTCCTTTATCCAGTTATTGTGTTCTGCTAGCTGGTGGTTTTGTTTGAATACTTCTGATGTTGTAGTGTATTTACCATACACAATAATCACTATTCCCGAACTGCTTTGATATGCTTCTTCTTGAGCTGAGGGTCTATCAGAAACAATCTCTCTAGGGGTAATGTCTGCACACGCTCTACCCTCTCCTGACCCCATTTGTAGAATTGCACTGAGTATGTTGTTGTTGAACAATCACTATTGCCATTACTAGAAGTTTAGAACTTACCCACAAGTGGTAAAAACTGTTCAACAAGGCTTTCTAAGTCATCTAATATAATGGTGATGGAACCTTGACCTCTGCCTTGAAAATTGCCCGTACTGGTCTGTGGTCTGACAATCTGAACTCACCTCTATTATACTGGCTTTGCTTCAGTCCCTTTCCAAACCATATTATCCGATCACACCTACATAATGTTTTTCTTTATTAGATATGCCTGTTTCATAATTTTTAGGTAAAACGCTCGATTGTTCTTTTAGAACTTACCAAGCTGGGGCTCGACTCTTTCCTCTTTTCCCATTCTGACTGCAGCCATAATAATCATCAGAATCTGGATAATATTTGTATGTTGGTGCAAACTCGATATCTTCCTCTTGCCAGCCGTTGAAAATACAACCTTCTCTTAGCTCGGCCTTCAGCTTCATTTTTTCCAAGTTTTCAATGTGAACTTCAAAATAGTGGTGATACTACGAGTACAAAACTCACTACATGTTTGGATACTTTTTGGAACTTCAAATTTATTCTTTTTGCTTTTAGTACCTGATCATTTTGTAGTAAGATGCTCCACTGCCCGTCATTGACTAATGATCTTGTTGTGGCTTCAGGTAAGTAAATCCTATAATTCAGGTCGCCTAGCCAAATCACCCTACTGTATGAGATTAATCAGCTTATGGTTGTTAGAAGATATTTTAAGATATTCACCAGTTGGAATATAATAATCAATATGTATGTACGAAGTCAAGTCTTCTTTGTTGTGCTAAAGAAGTGCAAGTGTAAAATTATTTGTCCAAATGCTGACATGAGGCTTCATAAGCATTATTAAGCACAGTCCCTCCTTCTCTTATTTTTTTCTGCTTCTTTTTCTAATTAATTAATCAGATGCTATGGTCTTGGACAGAATAATAGTGCTGGCTTCTTGACTTTAGGAAGCATAATAAAACTGTTTACTCTGTTATCAGCAAACTGGCAGCTAATTCTGTAGCAAGAGTCAGCAACTGTAACTTTGGCGAAAATTTCTAGGACGAGGAAATCCCAGCCTCTGGATTATTAATTTTTTGTGACTGTTGTTAATAATTATCGTAAAAAGGTATACATACTCGTGCTGTAGAATTTTTCTTGGCAAATACTGAAATGAGTCGCAAGAAAATCTTGTGCGTGATAGTATTTGAGAGGCATCTGCATTTCTCTGTCTCTCATCTCCTTCTTTTCCTCCAGAAGCCAAATGACTACACACAAAGCAGAAGCTTGTTTCATGCAACCAAAATCTAACCGACACTGAACCCTGTATATCAAATACTGAAAATTAGTGAACTGAACACTAGATACATATGATTGTGTTTCTATCCAATTTGTGTGTCCACAGGCTCCTCTGCTTCTTGGAGTGAACACCTTGGGGGTGGGGGAAGGGCAGCATGTGTAAATAACTCCTGTTGTTTGTTCCTTGAATTTGCCAGTAACTATTCTTGATTAGGAATGTGTTATTATGAACAAGAAATAGAAATTTAATATCAACTTTGTACCTTGTTTCCAAGGTAGCCAAAAATACCACAGCCTACACAGGAGACACTTGTATGACTGATATAGGGAAGGAGTGGAGACCGTGCCCATACTGTAATAAATATTCCCACCATTTGCTTGCTAATTATGCATTCAAATTGTGTTGAATTTTCTACATTGAACTTCAAGGAACTCCCTTCCTTTAGTGGGTAAACTCTTACACTTTCTTCTTCCTCTGCCTCCTGAAGGGTTATGTTGTTGACATCTATCTTGTTAAGAGCTGTGCTAATAAGAGAATTCCATTGCATGCATATAGTTGTATTCTCTGGCACTATAACACTTCCAGCATTCAGAGGTACAATTTCTTGAAACCTGATAAAAGTAGTTTGCTCAAGAGTTGTACATTCACAAAGTAGAATTTAGACCATCAAATACTGCAAATATCACTATACACTCTACTTCGTTGATTAGGCTACATGATACCAGATGCCTTGGGATTACAAAGGGGGTGGAGGGGGAAAGGGACGGGTGAAGCCTACCCCACAAAAGCTGCAACTTGTATCAGCCTGTCCGTGCTTAGCATTTTTTTCCCTTCTATTTTAACTCACCCAGCCCTTATTGACCCCCCTGCCCCTCGTAGAAAATGGCTTATGTCCAACTTTTCAAGAGATAGGTTAAAAAAAAGTTGATCTAATACAGTAGAACTTATTAATTTTAATTACCCTACCCCTTCTCCGCCCACTTTTGAAGTTCAAAAAATTGCCCCATTGAAATAGGCACAGATGATGATGCATTTGCATGGCACTGCTACCCTAAGGGCGGCTGCATATGTGAAATGCAGCCATCAGGTGCTTTAGTTGACCTACCTATAGTACAATGCAGTATATGGAAGTAAAGGTTACCCGAGAACATAAATATCAGCCAAGTTGTTTCGAGTATCAAGCAAGTCCTCCATGTTCAAGTCGTTTGGTGGTGCAATGCCTCCAACATTCCATGAACTAACAAATAACCTTATTGAGAAGAAAAAAACAATAAGTGTGAGATAAACAGAAGTATATAGAAGATTTGTAAATGTTACTATTGTTAAATTGGCATTGAAGTATATAGAAGATTTGTAAATGTTGCTATTGTTAAATTGCCGTACGTAAAATTCTGTATCTCAGCTAAGGGTGCTGATGTTGAGTCAGAATCAGCTAGCATATTCTCATCATCCAGTCTGCTCTACAGAATGGTGTTTGCGGCAAATTTAGCTACATAGCCTTGAACTGAGGGCAGAAAAGAAGACTAAAGAAAACCAGAATTTACATCATCATGTAGGCAGAGTGCATGTGATTGAGGGTAGTGGGAGGTAGTGAGAGAGAGAGCAGTGGTAATGGAAGCTAATAAGTTAAAGGAAAGTGTTGGTATACCTTTATATAAAGGGAAAGGAGGGTGAAAATTTGATTTGTAAAGAAGGGAGATCTAGAGATGTTAGGTTTTCTTTGGATGTTGAGAGTGTAAAAATGATACTATGGTGGGCTCTACAAAACACCAATAAAGAGAAATGAATTGTTTAACAAGACATTAAAATTGAAGAAGACAGTTAATGAAAAATAGTTAGTGGATATTGGGAGGCCAAAATCATAAGGGAGGTGATGTGAGCCATGATGCAAGTTGGATTAAGATCTTCTATTTAACTTTGAACTAATACTTTCTTACTTTGGAAAACCAAAGAGATACTTTCATTCTTTTGATCACATAGTGACTTTGTAACATTCAAGGTTGGTTGTGAAGGTTATAAGCACATGGTTTTGTACTAACACTTAACATCTTGCTATACTTTGTTCTTTTGAATTTCATCAATCTCTGGATGTTGATGTGCATGAGGAAGTTATTGTTATCTAACTATTGAATTATTTCATGAAATCAGGATGACACCCTAACCACAAGTTTAGGCTGTAACAAGAGCCCTAGTAACTATGATGTGAATATCCATTAATCAATTGTATGCAAGATATTTGAAACTGAAACATGATAGAAACACTTAACCCTAACTAATGTCTTCCTTTTCTGTAGATACAGCTAATGGAAGAGCAAGGATGACTCAACCAGATAACAGTTGTTTGAATGGTAACATTTTAACTACTGATTTTTTTTTTCATTATTATATTGAGACCTCTTCTACTCTCCCAGACTTCGTGGGATTACACCGGGTATGTTATTTTTAGGGTCATTTAACTAATTGGCCAATTCCATAGTCGTACTACGAGAATTAACTAATGCATACTTCAGTAAATCATTTGGTATTAATATATTAACATAAATACAAATTAATCAAGGTCGTTTAATCATCAATCATGGTGATTAAAAGTGTTGGAACTTTAAAATAATAATCCGTTTTTTTCTAAGCAAATAAGGCCAATGGATGTTGCTTATCCTTAACCAATCACGATTAGTAATTATATTATTGGAGGATGATAATTATAGTCTTTCCTGTTTCTTTTCTTATATTAAATTAAATTAAAGAAGACGAAGTCGCTGATATCTGCGACAAACATGAATAGAGGAAATAGTTTGATAATACAAATGCAGTATTAATAGGACAACATAGCTTGTTTTCTTGTTATTTGTTCACATAAAAACAGTATTAAAATGACAACATAGATTAATTTGTTTAATTTGATGAAAATGACAACATGGATTACTTTGTTAATACATTGGACGTACAGAATTCCACCAAGGGATGCTGTTCAGAGGCGGACCCACCTTTATAGGTGGGGTGCACGTGCATCTGTTAACTTTGGAAAAAATTTACACATGTATATTTATCCCGAGAAACTGATAGAAATTATGATATAATTAACCGTAGACCCACAAGGAGCATAAGACTATTACTGTGTTGTTGTTACAAGCCAAAGAAATCACCCGCGAGACCTGAGTTCGAATCTAGCTAGAGCCCCTTTGATGCTGTTAACGAGATACCTTTTGGATTAGTTAGCAGAAGACAATTGAGAGATTTTATTTTTTGTTATAATTATTACTTAATTAACTAGAAGCTGAATGCAGGCCTACATTAAGACTTGATTATGAAAGTTCTTATTTTTTTAATTTTATAATTACCCCGTTCCTTTCAAGTTTTATTATATTTATTTAACGATTATGGGTTTAATCGTTTCAACAAATCCACATCGTCTTGGGCTGGCATAATTTATGCTACCTCATGTCTAGTGGGGGTTTAAATAAAGAATTATGATTTGTTAGACAATAGTGCTACTAGTATTTTACTACTAATATTCACTAAGATATCATATCTATCCCATTTAGTGACGGTTGCCTAAAGAAACAGTTAAATAATTAACGAAAATATCAACAAAGATGTTAGCAGGATGGGCGTTTGATTATAAATTTTGGCGTATGTTGTGAACTTGTTTATATTACATGAGTCTCATCTACTTGATTCCTGAACCATACAGTATGAATTAAAATTAAATTTGTCGGAAAAAAACGATTAGTTAAAATCAAAATATAACAAAATCTTGAAATTATTTCATACAGAAGGTGGAATTATAATTTCAGGATGATAGTCCCGAAATTATAACGAGGATAACCTTATATTGGACCAAATAACCCTTAGTAGTAGGTACTTCTATGTTGATGAACTATGAGAATTCCCTTCAATCAGTGGCGGAGCTAGGATTTTTAACAAGGGTTCAAAATTTGAAGAAGTGTCTAATCGAAGAGAATTCGACATCTACTATATATACATAAAAACAAAAACTTAACCATGTATAAATTATAATATTTTTCGTCGAAGGAGATTCGGATAAATCCCCTGAATGTATGCTGGCTCCGCCATGTTAGGGCTTGATATATATGAATAGGTAATTAAAAAGTTCAACTATTTTACATCAAACTAGTAGATGCATGATATGTGTTTGCGAATAAACTTTGATAACATAATAAATGATTGATTAGCATACAATGTCATATTATGTGATAGGTTTTAACATGATTTGATGTAAATTATGAGTGCGGATATATATTACTCCTTTGTATCAATGAGTACGAACACATAAGAGAGAAAAGTTGGGTCATAAAAACACTATTTATGACATAAAGCAGCGTCGAACTTTTGGATATTGGAGTTAATTTAATTGGTTGACATCCCAAATTGAGAAATGGATACACTTATCCTTAGCAGTGCAGTCATATCATCTCTCTTGTCTACTTGTTTCAAGTGTGTTGTAAAATATGAATGGCTAGTGCCATTATCACTTTAAAAAGAAGAATAAGAAATGCAATTATTGACACAACATGTAGCTGGCAGTGTTTTACTATCAGATTTGCATTGCAAGTTGCATAGATACGCATACGACTTGGAATTGATAAATACCCATTCCTAATGACTCAAGTTTTTGGTCTATTTGATTGCTAGATAGTACATACTAGTAATACTAAACATTAAAAGTCGTTTTACAGATTGTACCCATATTAAAATAAGTACCTAATAAGTATGATTTCTCCAGCTTCCTAACCCTCAAGTGTGTTTGGTCATAGATTTTGATCATAAGTTTGGTCATAGATTTTGAAGTTGAGGTTTGAAACTCAAAAATTTGAATTTTTGAAGCTGTGATATTTGAAACTTGAAGTTGTGTTTGAAAATGCATTATACTTGACAAAAAATTGATTTTTTGAATGAAAGTGAAATTCTCGGACTATGGACTATGTAATGTACTTTATCTATCGGGTTACTTAAAAATGCACCCATGAGTGTGGTCTAGTGGTCAATGAAATTGTTGAGAACCCTAAATTCTCAGGTTCAAAATTCAATGGAGACAAAAAAAAATAGGTAAGTGATTCTTCCCAATTTTAAAATTTGATCCAAAATCTATGACCAAACGTTAGCTATATGTGTTAGAAATTTTTTATGGCGAAAAAAATATTCAAGGATAAAATCTAGCCCCCTTTGCTTGTACTCTTCTCTTTGATGTTTTCTATATTTTTTTAATTAATAATTAATAAAAAACTAGCCCTAGACACCCCGCCCCGCCTAGCGGATTAAAAAAAAGAAGAGGTTTCTGTTTGTTTTTATTAATAAAAAACTAACCCTAGACACCTATACCAGATTTAAAAAAAGGATAACACTTTAAAATATAATCCAATAGGGATAAGTGTCTGAAAAATACTTCAACTTTGGTCGAATTTGCTGTTGCGATACTAAACTTTCATGATGACCTATTACCTCCCTAAACTATTTAATACCGTATTTTAAACATATATATTTGCCACGTGGACATAAAAAATTATGCAAAATTATAAATAGTAATGTGTCCACGTGGGCACATATATACCTTTAAAATACACTATTAAATAGTTCAGGGGTAAAAAATACGGTATTAAATAGTCTAGGGAGGTAATAGGTCCTCATGAAAGTTTAGTATCGCAACAGCAAATTCGACCAAAGTTGGGGTATTTTTCAGACCCTTATCCCAATCCAATATGTATGTATGACCAAACATTAGCTAAATGTGGTAGAAACTTCTCCATCTCCCAAAGGTTGCAAAATGTTGATTTTCCATTCTTATATCAGAGTTAACTTGGAGAGGGATATCAGTGTTGGCCCACCCACTATAGCTAAATCTGTCAAGTGGGGCCTGCTAGACCCAAATTCCAGCGCATTTAAACATGCGTATATATCTGATTTAGGGACACCATTGAAGTTATACTCGTAAAGCAAATCTATCATTTTTTTGGGATAGTAACTTTTAGATATACGGTTTTGAAGTTGCAAAAATCTTATCTGAAACTGGAGGTTGCAACTGAACCTCAGACAGTATTATACTGCCTGAAGTTCGGTTTGTCAGAACCTAAATTTAGACAATTTGAAAACAAGCAAACTTCAAATATGTTTACCTGAAGTTGAGATATTTTTGCATGAAATTCAAACATATATATAAGGCAGAGCTTCGGTTTAGGCATATATGATGTTGAATTTCAAATATTTTTGTATGAGTTCAGGTGAATGGAGTATAAGGGAAAAACACAAATTTATTCTTCGAATTTTAACAAACAAGATCGAAATGAGTTTTGTTAATAAATAAACAAGTTATTAATCCGTCCAAACATAAATAGATTGAGGGAGCATGGTTTTATAGACTGATTTTGACACCTTCCTAGTTGCCAAACCATTAAACCAAATGTTTAATTAAAAATTTCACCGAAAGTCTTTGTTTTAACTTCTGTCCAACATACAGAACTTCTCCTTCTTCTTCCTCTTCCTTTCTGATGCAATTTAGCTATAAATTTTTCATATATTTTAAGTGAATATTTGGTGGGTGTCAACTAGATTCTTGTTTATCACTCCTTAATCTATCATCTTCTTGTTCTCTGTCACTCTATTGTTATTGCATTTTTGTATCTTGAATATATAGATAACAATCAATCCGATTGCAAAAACATTTATAACTAGAGATTTGAGATGTATCGGGCTCTAATTTCTCTGTTTCATGAGTTCGGATGAACAATGAACAACACATGCAAATTTTACCAGTTCACAAAAAATATTAAGAACATTTTAATAAGATAATGGAGATGGTATTGATTTCACCCATCACTTACTGTTTACTAGTTATTATATATATAACTAACAATATGCATCATAACGTTTTTATATTATCAGTATGGATTTTTGTATAATCATTGACATAGAAGGAGCCATTACGATTAATCCTCTCTCAGTAGATACAAGTCGTAAGGCTCTTGAAAATTTTGGACGGTTTGTTAAGCACATTCTAATTGAAGATGTTCAATCTCCAGTTTCTAAATTGTTTTGATTATGACATGATTTTCATATTCTGTTTGTAGTCTCAATTCCTGCAGTAAAGTGTAAACTTTTCTTCCAAGCCCAGATACATGATGATATAGTTAATGATGACAAATTGAACCAAGGAATGAATAATACTTAAAAGAAAGACAAGATTGAAACTAATATATACATAAGCCCATGTCATAGATGGACAAACAAAACAAGTCTGCAACGTAAAAAGGAGTAAAGCTAACAGACATCATTCCCCATAACCACTAAGAAAGTGAAGCAAAAGATACCATCCAACAGATCATAACAAACTATGAAAGTTCCTTTCTCAAAACAGGGGAACATGGAAGGCATTTTATTCATTCATATTGTCCATGAAGACACTGGTCAAGACATTCTTGGACTGCAGCGAAGTCTTCAGCATCTTCAAAGCCTGACAAAAACAGGAAACAAGAACAAATGAAGGAAGACTTCAATGCCAAAACAATTGGTAAACTTTGGCCATATATTTTGAAGTTGAAACTGAGAAACAGATATTCAAAGAAAACAATTTTACATACCTCATCCATTCCCAGAGTAACAACTTTCTCTTTGAGAACACCCACATCCTTAACGCATAGTTCATTGAGGAGAGTGATGCTAGAAATAGTAGACATAGGCTTCACAACCAAATCATCCAACACCATATAAGTTACAACCCCTTTAACCAAACCTCCATTGGAATTCCCTGCGGCAGGTTTGACATAGTTCAGTTGTGAGCTCATAGATCCATAACACGAAGGACAAGTAGCTCGAGAATACTCAGCCACATAACTACAGCGATTAGGGCATGTATACAACTGTTTTACAGATGGAGAGTTAGTGAGAGACAATAGAGGGACCGAAGCAGCGCCTTGTGCTGATTTTGGTTTCAAGAGGATGTCTTTTTCCTGATTTGGCTGAATGTACATATTGTCCAGATTCTCAAGGCTCTCATACAAACTTCCCAAGCACCCAACCATTTCTTTAGTAGTGAGAAGCCTAATGACACTGCCTATTGGCAAGGCCAGAATGTGAAATAAGAAATCAACACATTCTTTCCCTGCCTCAGCGAACATAACTCTTCTTCTTTTCGTGTCTATTAGAAGTTTCATTGTCACACTGGATTCTGCCATATTTGAAGCAATATTGCTGCAGTGAATTACACAACTTGAAGAAACAATGAGCTATTTTGCTGTACTTATAAAAGAGCAATTTGAGCAAAGAGGTTATTAGGTCGATTGATCTCCCTCCTCTTTCCCGTATTGTCCCTTCCATGGCAGAGAAATGATTAATGAAAAGTAGGGTGTCGTCAGATGGTGCGTGGTTGAGAGTGGTTCAGGCGGCGATTTGATAGACGTGACGGGAACGAAGCATGACTTTCAATTTTTTTTTTTTATTTAGTTCGGAGACCATTAAATTATATAACTAAGCTAACATTTAAAATGCCGTATTAAATAGAATAATTCATGAATTAAAATTTAGTCAATCTAATATATTGTTTGGTTATTTTATTTAATTTAATTCATGGATTGCTTATATAACATAGTCCATACGTGGTTTTATTTTATCCTTAAAAAATGGAGGAATAACTAATCAAACGTTTAACAAATCTTGGATAAAACTAGGGGTAAAATGGTAAACTCACTATGTCAATAATTGTTTTCTTAATAATAGGTGCATCAATTCAAAAGTGGACAAATAATTAGGAACACGGTGAGTATATATTACGAAAGTCAACAAACTTGTGTTTTTCTTCTTTGAAATTCTTGTCTCTTTCACACTTCTTGTTTCTTATCTTTCAATCAGAACTAACCACTTAGGGGTCGTTTGGTAGGGAGTATTAGGAGAAATAGTCTAAGTATTATGTGTGGTATTATTTAGTACTATGTTTGGTAGGAATTTTGGGTCTATGTATAATCAATCCATGGATTAGTTATATACCCTACATGGTATTATAGGGTGTATAGCTAATACCTTCCATTTGATGGTATTAGTTCTAATACCATGGGACTAATCTAGGTAAAGACAAAAATACCCCCTCAAATCATTTTAATCATTTTGTTTATTTTCTTGATTTTATGTTTTATATTTATACTAATAAATTTATTTAAATAAATTAGCTTACAAATTTTATTATTTTAGATATAATTTTTTGTTTCTAAAATGTGAGTTATTTAATCTATTTATTATTAATATAAAAATATTATAATCCGACTAATATGCTAATGTTGATGTATGAATTTAAGAACAATTCATAAGTCAAATATTGCCTCTTAACGGAAGTCCATTAAAGATTACACAAGTAATCTAAAACAAGAGCGCATATATATATATATATATAAAACATCTTGAGTATAAAAATCGTTTAATTTATTTTGCTATATTTTATTTTTTATTTTATTTTATTTTATGATAAAGAGTTTTTTTTTTAATTATTGATACAAAACAAAGTTCAATAAATTTTCTCCATAAATTATTATAGTTGTGTGACCTTTTGAGATATTAACTCCAATTTATTAAGATGACAATTATTTACTCTCAAATAATTTAAGTGAGAAAATGGTGAACATGACAATTAAATTTTTATTCTCCTAGCTAGTTAAAATGCTATAAAAAAATAATATTGTCCGTCAATTATTTACCTTGACCCAATTACATGAAATAGAAAATCCCATAATAACTCAAGGGTATAATTGAAAAGAATTTTTTTGTAGAGTTTTAAACCACACACAAAATTAGGTAAGAAACAATGAATCAAACACTTAATAAAAATAATTCTTGCATTACTAATTCATGTATTACCAATCCCTACATTACTAATCTCTGCATTACTAATTCTTGGATTATTGATCTTTATACCAAACAACCCCTAAATGACTAAACTACCCCCTTATTCCTTTTCCTGGATTTCTATTGTAATTTGATTTTCTTTATATTTATATTACAATGACTTTACATATTGTTTTTAATTCTCCAAATTCACTTAGTGTAATTTATTGGTTTCACAAATATTTTTTTCTGCATTTTTTTTTATTCAATGTAGTTCGTCGATAAACCACTCGAACTATTTGTTTTTCTTAATAAACTTTAGGTATTGAACAAATTAAGTAGTTTTAAATCTATGTTAAGTTTAACATATATTTTACCAACAAAAAATTTAAAGTACACCGTGTCATCAAGGATCTCCTTAGTGGTATGTTACATCTCAAAATTAATTAAATTATATCAGTTAATCTATCATATTAATTTTATTATTACTATTTCGTTTTCTTTCTTATTTTCGGATTAATGTTTACATGTCATATGTCACCTTACTTAATTCATTTATTTTGTTAGAACATATTTTTAGATTTATATATCTATATTAGTCAATCTCTCATATTAATTTTACTATTACTATTTTGTTTTTTTCTTATTTTCAGAATATATTTTCAGATTAATGTTTACATGTCATATATGTCACCTTACTTAATTCATGTCTTTTGTTAGAACGTATTTTCAGATTTCAAATCAAATTGCATTATACTTCATGTGGATGTATAACAATATATATGTGATTTTAAAAAAATATTATGTATTAATTGATATGAGATGCACGTAAGATGTACAAAATGCACATATAATGCACGAGATGTACGTGCAATACACGTTGATACAATATAATCTCACATCTATCGCCTTACTTAATTAATTTCTTTTGTTAGAACGTATTTTCAGATTTCTTAATCAAATTGCATTATACTTCACGTGAATGTATAACAATATATATGTGGTTTTAAAAAAATATTATGTATTAATTGATACGAGATGCACGTAAGATGAACAAAATGCACATATAACGCACGAGATGTACGTGCAATGCACGCTGATACAATGTCATATCTATCGCCTTACTTAATTCATTTCTTTTGTTAGAACGTATTTTCAGATTTCTTAATTAAATTGCATTATACTTCACGTTAATGTATAACAATATATATATGATTTAAAAAATATATTATGTATTACTTGATACATGATGCACGTAAGATGTATAAGATGCACATATAAAGTACGAGATGTACGTGCAATGCACGTTAATTTTTTTGTGGTGTTGTTGAGATGAAATCGTTCTTCTTTTCCATTTCTTTCACTTCGTCTGATGATAAACTGGCTGAAAAGCCAGAAGCCACATGACGGTAAAAGTGCATAATTCATGACTATTGATCATCCTCAGAATGAAGAGCAACTCCATAGGAAGGACATGTAATAGCTCCTGAGATTACTGTTATCTTTGGCAACTGGCAAACTTACATGAATTATGTAAGTTTGCGAATCATTTTGTTCAGCAATAGTGGGATGGAAACTCAGTCAAAAAGCAGTAGAAGTAAATATTAAAATGGAAGCTAGCACTGGATGCATGTTTAGAAATATTTATAACTATTAGAATTTCAAAGGAAGAGAAGCTTGGTAGTATTAGATGAGTATTGTTTTAGTGTTTCTTCTTTTTTTCGTTGATCTTCTTTATATAGAGTCTCTACTCTTTTTGATTGATCTTCTTTATATAGAGTCTGAATATGTTGTTGATATCAACAAGTTAATTATGCATGCATGTGATTTACTTAAGAGTAGTACAACAGAAATTAATCAAATGCTACTAGATATATCTATTAAAAGAGTGAAGGCATATATAGCTAACAATTATTTATAGTATTGTTTTTTTTTTTCACCCTTCTTCTCTAACAGTAATAAAAGTTAATCGACTAAGCAAAATGTGTTAAACATTTCATTTTTTGCAATTTCTACAATAAAATATTATGACTAATTTGTCATGTATCTTAATACTTTTCTTTATAATATCATAAATTATTTCTTCAGATCGTGATGTGTTGACATGAAACTAACTTGCTAGATTATCTTATTGATATGGCATGATATAAGTACAAGCAGTATTTTTTCAAAATTATTTTTCATCAAGAATATGAATATGATTTTTTCATTTATGAATGAAAATATTTTTCTTAGATTATCTTATTTAGTTCCATATTACTTGCTCCGACCTACAATATTTTTTGATGTGACTAGTAAATTTTTCGCTTATATTCTTAAAATAACATGAATTTGTGTACATTTATGTTTGAATTCGCACGGATGTCGAAAAGCAAAAATGTAAAAGATTTGATAAGATGTTCTTTAGTCCCCTTTCTGGCCGCTATCTCAAGAATTTGATAACGTATAATACCACAATTTAAGAATAGAAAATATATGTTTAGCATATCAAAGTCTTAATCTACAATATTACAATATGCAACTAAACTTGAATCGACTTAAAGAAAATGATTAAAATCGCATTCCTATCTTAGTACAGTAAATCAAGAATTTCATGAAATAAAGATGAACATAAGTTGAAAATCCTCCCTTGTCATTTCAGGGATTTCCACTTGCCATTAGACCATTTTTGATGAAATCTCAACGCGTGAGAAGGGCATGCAATGTTATCTCCAGTTGTAGGGAAATAGACATAGTACTCTTCTCCAATTATTCCACTAATAAATCCAAACCACCATCCATCACTGTCAACTACATCAACCTTATCAAATAGACAAAATCTTTTTCCTGACATTGTTTAACGTTGATGGTGAGGTGGAACAAGGCGGACCCATCACTGTCAACTACATCAACCTTATCAAATAGACAAAATCTTTTTCCTGACATTGTTTAACGTTGATGATGAGGTGGAACAAGGCGGACCTCGCCTACAATGGCAAGCTCTTCTAGAAGTGCAGACTTATTATCAAACAACAGAGTTTTATACTTGATTCTGTAATGATAAGCATCCTCGATAGAAATAATAGTTGCTTCGTAGTAAGAACCTATGAATCCTATTTCTTGACTTGGCACTTCAACTTCATCGCCCTTTTGGAATAGTTTTGTTATTTGTTGTGTCTTCATTGCTATCAAATCTATTTCCTTTGAGAGCTTTTTAATTTTCGAAAAAAGGCAAAATATATCCTTGAAGTATTTGAAAAGATCTAAAAATACCTCTCATTCATCTATTGGGCTAAAAATATCCCTACCTCCATCCACCTTTTTGGTCCATCTCTACCCTTAAAACTAACAGCCACTTTTTAAAAAAATATTATTATTATTATTTGTTACATGTCATTTTCTTATTGGATAAATTAAATCTCAACCCCATTTAATTTTCTCCTACCCACCCATTGTAGTGAACATGACCCAAACCCAATTAGAAGACCCATTAAAAAATAAATTGATTGAATTTTTCTCCCCTAACCCCAGGCCTCTTTCTTCTTCTCTCTTTTCTTATTCAAAATATTTGTACACTACATTCAATCAAATGATACAACGTAGGCAACTAATTATTTTCTGTTAAAAATATACACAATCAGATGTAATAATTATTTTCTGTTAAAAATATATACACAAGTCCATATCTAGATGGACAAACAAAACAAGTCTGCAACGCAAAAAGGAGTAAAGCAACAGACACCTTCCACATTAACAACGTAGGAAACTAAAGCAAAAGACACCATCTAGCAGGAAGACTAGAACAAACCATTAAAGTTCCATTCTCAAAACAGGGGAACATCATGGAAGGCATTTTATTCATTTATGTTGTCCATGAAGACACTGGTCAAGACATTCTTGGACTGCAGCGAAGTCTTCAGCATCTTCAAAGCCTGACAAAACACGAAACAAGTACAATAAAAGGAAAAGTTCATTACTAAAACAATTAGTAAATTTATCCATCTGTTTGATCATAGATTTTGAAGATGAAACATGAAATCGTAATTTTTGAGATATAAAGTTGTGATGCGATGGAACATGCATTTTGATTGGAAAAATGTTGCACTTTGTGAGTGAAATTAGAGCTAATTATAGGGGAACGAACATGAAGAAAAAAAAAATTGGAAATAATTATCAAATATGAGACAAAACAGTAGCGTATGCTTCGGTATAACAAATTAAATGATTACTGGAAGTGCAAAATTCTAGAGCTATATATTATCAAACAAAAGTTTGTGAAGTAAACAAGGAATAAAGGACAGCAAGTTGATATACCTCATCCATTCCCAGAATAACACTGAATTCATTGAGCAAAGTGATACTAGACAACCAAATAAATCATCCAACACCATATAAGTTACAACCCCTTTAACCAAACCTCCATTGGATGCTATCACATTATTCCCTGCGGCAGGTGTGACATATTTCAGCTTAGATGAAGGACAAGTAGCTCGAGGGTCCTCAGCCACATAACTACGGTGACTAGAGCATGTATACAACTGTTGGAGAGTTAGTGAGGGACTGAAGGTGCTGATTTTGGTTTCAAGAGGATGTCCTTATCCTGATTCGGTTGAATGTCCAGATTCTCAAGGCTCTCATACAAGACACTGCCTATTGGCAAGGCCAGAATGTGAAATAAGAAATCAACACGTTCTTTCCCTGCCTCAGCGAACATAACTCTTTTCTTCTTCGTGTCTATCAGAAGTTTCATTGTCACATTGAACTCTGCCATAATTTTGACTTTTTGAGACAGAAGCAATATAGTTGCGGCAAGAAGAGATAAGAATTAAATTACAGAGCTTGTGAAAACCGTTGAGGTTGTTTGTTTTTATATACCCAAAAGATCAGTTGGTGCAAAGCGATTAATTTCCACACTCTTTTCCGAACTGTCTCATCCATGGCAGAGAAATGATTAATGGAAATACTTCTTGGGAAAAAAACGCCGGCGTCAGATGGTGCGTGGTGGAGGATGGTTCAGGCGGCGATTTGATAGACGTGACGGAACTGAGGCGCCACTAGTTTATACAAATATTTTTATGGAGCAGTAATTTAAACTTCGGAAAAGGGTCAAAATTACCCCTGAACTATGAGATATAGACCACTTATACCCTCCGTTACATTTTAGGATCAAAAATGCCCCTACCGTTATTCTAAGAGACCACAATTACCCTTGGGACTTAACAGAAGTGATTTGGCAAGCCACATGGCACTAATTCCGCCACATAGGCTTGCCAACTAGGATACCCACTAAATTTTTTGACCCAATTAATAATTCAATCCTAACCCATTTTTGTTGGATCAACCCACAAAAATATAAAAATCTTTTGCTTCCCCTGCTTATTTACAACTTCATCAGTTAGCTATTACTTTGATTTATTCCCTGCTTTTTTATAACTTCATCAATGTACATATATGTTTGCCTTCATACACTTTGGGACGTTTACAACTCCTTAAAGAAGCAGCAAATTAGTGTACCTTCTCCTCGTCAATTTTGGCGCAACATATAATATTGGGTTTGAAACAGAACATGTGGACTGCAGATGGAACGGTCAGTTCAACCTCATAGCTACAACCCAAGCTTGAGGTATAAAGACGACCATGAGATTTCGCTTTAGCTTTGAAATCAATCCCGATGATCTTGAGAAAGCAACGAAATTTAGCTTTGATTGGGACTAACGTTATCGATCAACTGAAACGAAAGGTAAGCTATTTCACCTTCATAAACTTGAATCAAGACACCCGACTGATTGTCAGAGTAGGTCGAAAACACCTGCTCTTTCTTAGTTGAAATCGTGGTGTATCAAGTTATCAGAGTAGTGTCCATTCTGCTATATTTAAGATCGTCTAAGTCCAATATTAGATGAACAATATAAAGAGTAGTACTGCATCAATTGAGTAATAGAATATTGAAGGCCAAAAGATCATCAAAAGCAAAGAGCGCAAAAAAAACTCTAAGGTTCAGTAGCTACAATATCTTCATCACCCAACAACTCCAACTGTTAACTCGTTGTCCATAAGATCAGATCAATTTCAGTCACTGACTTCGGCGGCTAAAGAATTCTCCAGGAGAGCAACACAAAAAAAAACATAAAGGTATTCATACCATAACAACAACTTAACTGCAGCAAGCAAATTGCTAATCACCTGTCAAATTTCAAAAATTGGCCAAACAACAATACTATAATTCAAACCATAACAGTTAACACCTTAGCTAACCCAAAACAGACCAAGAACCTGAAACAAAAACTGGCCAAACAAATATTCATTCAAAACAAAGCTTCGGTTCAAAATAAAACATAAGCAATTGTGTATTGTTTACATCCATAACATAACAACAAAATAAAATAGTAATGCCACTGTTTGCACTTGCCAGATCATACAAAAACCAACATTTCGGTATCTCAAAAAAATAATTTAACAGAAGCTGACATATACTTAATACTTCCAACTACAAAGAGTCTAAATTTGGGATCTTCTATTTGCTTTCTTGGTCTTCAACTTCCCCACCATCTTCTCTCTTGCCCTTTCCAACTGATTACTAGTCATAGCTTCTTTTCCTTTCCATGTGACTTTAGTGGGTGAGTAAGGCAAATCTGTAGGCTCACTCATTCCTCTATGATCACCTCTGAAAGTGATCACTCTATTGGCAGATCTTGTTTGTTGGTTCTGCCTCATCTTAAGCCTTGTTAACTCTTCAAAAATTATACGAGGCCTTAAAACAGGATCACTTTCAAGTTCTCTAGTAGGACCAAAAGGTTCATATTGTCTCTGTCTTGGTGCAAATATGTCACTTTCAAATCCTTCTTGAGTTAGTTGAGGGGCTGAACTATTGACATCAAAAACTTCTTCATCTTGTTCTACTTCTTCAGTCCTGCCCCTCTTCCTCTTAAGACTTGAAATGCTGCCTTCCTCACTAGACTAAAATATTTTTAAATAAGTCATTAAATTAGTTCATATGAACATTATATAGCTAACTTTTAAATTAAAAAATTGTTACCTTGCAAGACCTTGCATTGTGAGCTTGTGAACCACACTTGCTACATGTCATCTTAGTTCCTTTTCTTGAGTGAGACCACTCTCCAGCTCTTTTGATTGCTGCATTTTTTTCTCTATCTCTTTTAAATTTTGGCCTTCCAACAGTTTTCACAAGATCAGGTGGGTCCATGGCATGTTCTGGCAATACTTGCCAGAATTGTTCACCTCTCATAGGCAACAACTTGGCCCCGTATGTTTTAAGATAGGCTTCTTTAGTGTACCACCAACTTATTTCATCTCGAGGCTCAATATTTTTGTAGCGCAATGCCTTGATGGCATGAGGGCATGGGATGCCAGTCAACTGCCAAGACCTAAAATGAAAAGCAATAATTAGTTCGTGTGAATATTACATAATCACAGTTACATAATAGTCTCAATTAATATATTTACCTGCAACTGCACTTCTTCTCCACAATATTCACTATGTGCCTATCTTCACCCTCAGACACTTCAAACCCAAGGTCCCCATTAAACTCAAGCTTGCATAAGTTGGCAATCTTACTGTAGGCAATGAACAATTCCATACACTTTGGACTGTGTTTGTAATAAATGTTCCATGTTTCTGCCTCTTTTTCCTTCTTTCTCAACCTGTTCATTATTTTGACTCTAATCTCTTCAAGCATCTTCAAGATAGGCTTACCTCTAGGTACCAAGATCCAAGAGTTAAAGGATTCAGTGAAATTATTATCTACCATCTGATTTTTGCACACAGTATCAAAATATGTTCTGCACCATTTTTGTGGTGGAAACTTGACCAAATCTTTAGCAACTTCCTCTGATAATGCACCAAGAGCATTCAATTGGTCCTTAAAATCTTCTTCATAAGTACACCAAGCAGCCCACCACATAAGTTTCTTCATCTCTCCGGTCCTAAATCTCTTCATCCAATTGGCCTCAACATGTCTTACACAATATCTATAAATAATTAGAAGTTCATGTTAGTTAGCAAAACCAAGATAGCACTTAAAAGCATCTTAATAGTACCTATGGTTTGATAATGGAAGGACATTTTCCACTGCATTCAGTAATCCCTGTACATGTCAAACCAATTAGTACTTATAAAAAACTGTATATTATTAGGTTACATAAACACAAATTACTACTTACCTTCTGCATGTCAGACATAAATGTGATGCTATCACCATTCTTCAGATTCAATGACTTCTCCAACAACTGTAAGAACCATGTCCATGTCGTAGTGGTCTCCTTATCCACTACAGCCCACGCCAATGGATAGAAAGAGTTATCGCAGTCTTGTGCCATAGCCACCAGTAATTGCCCCTTGCATTGGCCCTTTAAAAAGGTCCCATCAAGTCCTATGAATGGTCTTAATCCTTCTTTCCATCCAACCTTCATTGAATTAAAGCAAATGTACATTCTGAGAAATTTTCTTTTTCCTTGTACCATTGCATCTTTTGATAAGTTGATCACCACATCACTACCGGGATTAGTCATTCTAATCTCATTTGCATACGCCTCCAATCTATTGTATTCATCCAAAAAAACTGCCTTGCATTTTTTGAAGGGCCATTCTCTTGGCCCTTTTCAACTTTGAATCATTAGTATTTAAGTTGAAATTATCCATCAAGTCTTGTTTCATATCCTTCAGTGCATACTTGGGATTATTCTGAACTTTGCTTTTGAAATAATGGGATAAAGTGTTTGTGGTAGCTCTAGGATTGTGTAATGCCTCTTCACAGTTGTGTTCTTGCTTTAAAGTCGGGGCAAAAACAATTTCTTCATTATCATCAACAGCAAATACATGAACTACCCTAAAGGCTTCAGTTAGTAACTCCTGAAGTATCCTAATTCCATCAGAATCTTGAACCAAAAACAAATTTTCAGAAGGTCCTTTCACAAGTACTTGTTTAACTAATACAAAACCCAAGTTATTTTCAAACACCTCTTTTATGTCAATCAAATTTAGGTGATTGGAATTAAAGGCCCTCAAAGAATGAACATACCTCTCATCATATAGTAGGTGAGGTTTTAAAGTCCATTTACCTCCATGGTGAAATAACAGATCAACATTCATATCTTCCATATTGAATTTTCTGCAAAAAAAATAGCAAAACATAAATATATAGGACCCCACATTAATAAACTAAGCACATATAAATAAGAAAAAAGCTTCTAACAAGAATAAAGTGACTTTTATAACATATAAAAACAAAGCAAGTGACTTAGCAGTAAAAAAACACCAAAAAGAGGGATTAAACAATACTTAGATTGGGACCACACATTCAGATTCGAGAATAAAAATCTTAAATTATTTGAAAGTAGCCTAAATATGTGTCAATACCAACATAAAAACAGCAAGAAGGGACCTCAAAACAAGATAAAAGACAAACAAGACTTTAACTCCTCCCGACAGATCAAATCCCAACACATGTAAAATTGAAGGAAAAGTAGTATTTTATCTCAAATATGAAGAATCATCAGAATATACATCAATATATACTAAAATATTGGCAAACCAATTTTGCATATAAACCCTAACTTCAAAATACAACTATGAAAAATATTTAAAATCCTACTGCAAGTAAACAAAAAATCAGTTACATACTGAAATAGAAGAGAATTTACCTTCTAGATCGAGATTCCAGAAGAAAAGATTCTTCAAGTGAAATATGTTCTTCAAAAAATTCTCCTTGGTGAATTGAATAATGAAAATGGAATGAGGTGAAAAATATGACGTTTCCCTCCTAAATTTAGTGGGTGGGTCTAATAAAAATGGGTTAGGGTTGAATTATTAATTGGGTCAAAAATTTTAGTGGGTATCCTAGTTGGCAAGCCTATGTGGCGGAATTAGTGCCATGTGGCTTGCCAAATCACTTCTGTTAAGTCCCAAGGGTAATTGTGGTCTCTTAGAATAACGGTAGGGGCATTTTTGATCCTAAAATGTAACGGAGGGTATAAGTGGTTTATATCTCATAGTTCAGGGGCAATTTTGACCCTTTTCCGTTTAAACTTAAAAATATTCATTCTATAATAAAATAATTTTTAACTACATAAATAATATTTATGACTTATTTTTTACTATAAATTTCAAAAATTAACTTCTTAAACTGTGTCAAGTTGAACCTATTCATATAAATTAGAACAAAGAAAGTACTGAAAATATTTTTTTTTTTTTTTTTTAAAGATGGACTAAAAATATGTCATATAAAATGAAACAAATGAAGTATAATATTTGATTTTATAAATATATGACAAATCAAGAAACAAGAAGAGAATTGTCCAAGTTTATATAGCTAGCGTTTGGCCATAGATTTCTAAATATTCTTGGCAAATATTATTTGGGTGAAAATTTGGGTGAAATTTCACCATGTGTTTGGCCATAGTATTTGAGAAATATATTTCACTTTTTTAGAAAAATATGATTCATACCCATAAGTTTTAAAAACTATAAAAACTAACCATAAGTTTGTATTACAAGTCAATTGAATTTTTGTTGCAACAATAACAAATAGTGTCCATGACACTAGAGCAATGTGGTAGTTTGGAGTGAGTGCAACAATCATCATTTCATATATCGTGAAGTAGACAAAACACATGACTTTGTATCCTGAACCGATTGTTCATCATTTTCATCAACAACCATATCATCATTTAAGATTCACTGAATATTTCATCACTACTTTGGTGTTCACGTGAAAAATTATGTAATACGACACAAAGAACTACTATAGAGGGTGTTTTTGTAAAAGATAAAAAATTGGGGTAAAATTTTAATTTTCAAAAGATCCCAAATAATGAGATTTGGCCCAAATACTAGAAAAAACTAGTATTTGGGAATTTGGGATATTTGCCAAAAATATTTGCCAAATAATGACAAATTGTATGGACAAAACACTATTTGCCAAAAAATTTCCCAAATATTATTTGGGAAATCTATGGCCAAACGGGCCCATAGTAACTATTTGCTAAAGTTATATGAAACTTTAACCTATTTTAACAATCTTCTTCATGATTCAATAGTTGTGTGGATCGAAGCTCAAATTGCTATAGACATAACTTTGATATAACGTAAAAATATGATATTCAATTTCAAAAGTTAGCTCAAGTTTTGATGAAGAATTATCTAAATTCATATAAATAGATCACCAATTCATTCCCTAATTAATATGAGACTTTAATCTACTCTAATATCTCCTTTTTAACTCTCAAATCCAACTAGAGCATCAATCAAAAATTCAAACAGATATGTCATGTAAAGATATCACAGTAGTTTAACACAATCGATACGAAATTTTAACCCACTTTACAAATTTGATGGTTCTAGGATCAGATTTGTGTAGTACAATAAGAAATTGTTTGGTTGCTTATGCAAGTATTAGGAGTTAATTATTGAGATATTAGTTACTCTATCTTTTTACTTTTTAGTATGTGTAAAAGAACATATTGATTATTGTATACTTATTTTTGATGTGTTAAATTTTATACATATAAAAAATAAACTAAAATATAGAACAAGTTATACATAATTTAATACATGAATCAACCACACGATCCTAAATGATAAATTACAAAAATATCTTTAAATACTATAGAATAATTTAATTTAACAACAATTACTCGTAAAATTATCATAACATAACTTCATTTATCTAGTTTCTCAATAAATAAGGAAAATATAATTATGAAATTATTCATATGCCACACTTTGCTTTTTATTCTATTTTAAAAAGAAAGTCATCTTTTCACAAAAAAATAATAATTAAAGTTAATTTTTTTAGAGCTTTATTATACCAAATTAAACCATAGCACGTGAATAGAAACGGAGGATTAATATGGATGAACTCCAAAAAATATTATTTGGGAGGTGGGGAATGAGAGATTACTAATGTTGGGAGTAATTTCCCTGGATAGTCGCCCATGTTTGGGAAATTACCTAGGAATATCACTTATGTTTGTTTTAGGACCACAATATCACCTAACTTTACCTCTTTTCCTCAAAATATATTTGACACAAAAAAAAAATTATCTCTCTCCTAATAGGATGCCATGTCACATTATTCCTTTTTTATTATTAACATTTTTTAATTCCTTTTTTATTATTAACATTTTTTAAAATTCTTTAAAAACATTATATCCTTTGTAGTTTGACAATATGGTTACCTTATTACTCTAATGAATTAAAATATCAACAAAAAGAGAGTCCGAAGCTAAAAAGGTCAATTTTTTCCTTCAAAAATTTTTTTAATCAAAAGGGCAAAATCCCTCCTGACAGATCGATTTTGTCACACCCCAAATCCGGATGTGATGGCACGTGTCCATTTCCCACCGGACACGTCAGCCTAACCCAACCACAACGATAGAGAAGTAGAAATACGAGAATAAAAGATAATAAATAAGCGGAAGACTTTAATTAAGACTCAACACTACCCAAAATTTGGTTGTCACATGTACAAACCTCTAAATACAGAATTTGAATAAAAATATACAAGTCTCAGAGTATAGTTCTCGAATAGAACAAAACTGAAAGTAAAGATAACTCAAGGGCAACGTCTGGAATGAACCGCTACCTCTCGAGTATGTCCCGAAGCTCAATCTGCTAAAGAAAATACTAAGCCGAATCTGAGAGAGCTGTCAACCTACACAATTGTGTAGAAGCAAGGGTGAGTACCGAAAACCACAGGTACTCGCAAGTAACTCTAAACTAAGCAAAACTAGCAGCTACAAACAACTCCTTTCAATCCCAAACCCAACCACCGAAACTTCAATCTAACAGCAAACCAACCAACCTATACTAAACAGATCATATTCAACAGCCAGAACCAACAGTATATCCTCATCAACCTCAGATCAACAAATAAGAGCAAGTAGATCAAATTCCACATAAGAAGGGTAAATCGATACAATTCACACATTACAGACAAAGATAAGGCAAATGCGATGCAAAATGCAATAATGATGTCATGTAGTCGTGATGCATGTCTGTCCTACGATACACATCTGTTGACGTAATCAGTCCGCGCTGAATACTCAAATCAGAACCCATGGGGGCCACACATGGACCATGTATCACCGCCGGAACCAGATCCCATCGGCATCCAAATCGCTAGCCGGAGCTAGTCCATCTCATATATCTCTAGCCGGAGCTAGTCTCAACTGTGTCTCATATCCATCCATCCTCATATCAGTGTCTCAGAACTCATGCAACAGATAGTTCACACATGGGATGAATAATGAATATGCACATGTCATCAATCACAATCATATCACGATCACATCATAGTATTACACATCATCTGTCTCAATCAAGACCACATCATAGTATTACACATCACCTATCTCAATCACAACCATATCACGACCACATCATAGTATTACACATCACCTATCTCAATCACAACCATATCACGACCACATCATAGTATTACACATCACCTATCTCAATCACAACCATATCACGACCACATCATAGTATTACACATCACCTATCTCAATCA